CAAATTTCATTACTTTAAAAAGAAAAATGAATAAAGATTTTGATAGTTCAACAGTTTGCTTAGTGTGATTCAGAAATTCATAGCTTGGCTGACAAACAGATTGCTTAAATATTTAATGCCTTGCTGTAAAAATATTTCTTTGTGTTTGAATTTCGAAGAAGGAAAGAAATTATATATATATATACACCTCGACAGAGCTGATTCAGCAACAACTTCAGAATACAGACGAGAGGCTGAAGATGTTAAAATATCGCTGCCGCCATCACAAAGAGGAGGAAAATCCAATGAACTTCGAAGCTCTATTTTACTGGTACTTTTGGAACTCTCAGCTAAAAGTTGCGTCAAAAACTTGAACAAACAGTGTAGCTAACTGCCGTGTTCCTGCTGCATTCAAATGCAGCCCATCCAGAGCCATGCATCCACTCCAGTCACGAGATGACAGCAGAAGGTTACATTATCCAGCTCTTCACAGAGATCAATCATTTTTTCATTAAACTGAGAACTCTTGTTGTTGACAGAGCGCAGTCGAGGTCGCAATTTCGTCTCTCTCATTATAAGTTAAATACTTCGAATACACTCTGGCAAAATTCCTGATATGACTACCCGCGCATACGGATTCACTCTACTCACTTCCCGAATTAAACTTTTATATTTTAAGACACTGTCATACACAGTAGAATCCATATTATTTGGTCCCTACATGAAAAAGGATACAATCGTATTCATTAAAGGATGAAATTTTTGTGGTCAATCTTTCTATTGTTATGCCCGGAAACGCGAGAGCATGCAGTTTATTATCATACAGCTGAGACGGTAAATATCGGTACATATATTTAATCATGGAATCACCGGTTATCAGAACCTTCATAGTCGATTACAAGTTATAAAAACTTCAAAATTACAAGCCCGTTAGAACACGCCGAACGACCTAATATTAATAGTACTACTACGAACAATGACAGATTGAACAAAAGCTTGGCTACTTTTGAACAATGCACTTGGCTCTAAAATTTATTCTGGTAACCTTACATTGCATCAGCGATTTCGAAAGGCATCATGGGAAAAAGTACACATTTTTCGGTAAACTTCCGGTATCAGGGACTCAGTTATCTGTAAAATTTGACTATAGACAGACAGTACACCGGCGGCATCTACTGGTGAAACTACTTTTTTTTTGTAGGTTCTGTGTATAAACATCGTCCCAATTTGAATTGCTGTTTTAGTCATATCTCTGAGAATATGAAGTGTGTAATAATCAGTCTGTAGTACGTAGCTTCAATTTTACTAATCATAGCATTCATTATTTACAAATATTCATTTCTTAGGAACCACGAATCAGTGTCTCAACATGTGCGAAAATATATTGCACCCATTACGGCTACGAGATTTAGCTAGGCAGTGGCTTTTAGAAGATACAAGCAATTTTAATATTGGAAACAGTATTATTGGGGACAGTGAGAATGAATTTACTATTTACATGAAAAGTCCTGGAATTTTAGCTGGTATTCCATTCGTTAATGCAGTATTCAATGAACTTGATTTAACACCGCAATGGCTTCACAGAGAAGGGGAAGACTTAAAACCGGTAACAGAAGTAGCAAAAATCAATGGCCCTGCGCGAAATTTATTATTAGCAGAACGTGTTGTTCTGAATATATTAAGTCGCTCCAGTGGTGTAGCAACATCGGTTTCAAAAATGTCTAGAGCTTTGGTTGAAGCTGGCTGGAAAGGTATTCTTGCCGGATCTCGGAAAACAACACCTGGTTTTAGAATGGTGGAGAAATACGCTCTTTTAATTGGGGGTGCCGATATGCACAGATACGATTTGTCTAGTATGATTATGTTGAAAGATAATCACATATCTATATATGGATCAATACACAAGGTATGATTCATTGCTTCAAATATTATTCATGAAATTTTTATATGAATTAAAAAGGAGAATATAAATGTTGGTTCAATATGCAAATGAACTCAGTATTTTCCTCTCCGACAAGTAACTTATTATTGCTGCTAATACATGTATATATTTCTTTGTGGTTTTATTAATTTTTTATGTAAAATAATACATGAAAAAATGTTGAGTATTGTATATTAAGCATGAACAGATATGCATGTCTTTAGAGATATATTGATTATTATGGGTCTGTTCTTTGCCACTTCTTAGCTGAACTTAATTTTGTTTTTTGAAAAGTGTATATTGTGCATTTTGAAATGATTAGCTAATTATGGCAAAACATATAGGAAAAGTGGCACTTCTGAAGTTTTGGGAGCTAAGGGCAAAAAAAAAAAAGGGGGGGGATCCATTGTTATTAAGAACAAAACGTTATTTATTGGACTACATTAGTAACACAATTTGCGATTTTGGGAAAGCAGTTATCTAGTGTAGAAAATATCTGAGTATCCTGCAATTTTTTTTACTGTATACTTAAGAGAAAATTCTTATTAAGTACAGTAGGCTACTAAGCAGTTCATGGACTAAGGTATGAAAAGAAATTACAAGAACTGAAACTTTAAAAGACTTCACATTGAATGATTTATTTTTCTAAGATTATAATGGAGTATGGCAGTGTTAGTGAAGGTATTTGTGTATTCATCTGTGATACAGAAGAGAAAACACGACAATTACTTAGATATATCTTCTTTGAGCAACTAATTGGGGAAAGTGCAGAATCACCCACTGCTTGGCGTGTTTTTAAGAATTGTACATACTTGGTATCCATGTACACATCGACCTATTTTCACTTAAAAAAAATCCCAGAATTGCACAAAAATGGCATTGCGCACTCCCTTGACTTTATCTGTGTACACATCAACCTATTTTCACTTAAAAAGTCAAAGAAAATTGACAAAAATCCAATTCTTCTTACTCTTGTAAAAAGTGTCAAACAGATAAGTGGGTGATTCTGCACTTTACCCCTTATCAACTATTCACTGGTTATTTCTTCGTTATTTGAGCTTAAAGTGGTGGATAATCTAACAGAATGAATAAACTCATTACTGTGAAATAAAGGCACTACCTATGTTGGATTTATGTATAAACAGCCTCTCATTACCTTGAATTTAAATAACTTTTAAAAAGCTGCAATAAATTTGATATTTTAAAATTCAGATGAGTGAACATTTGCTGCAGTGTAAAGAAAAAAAAAAAAAAAAAAAAAAAAAAAAAAAGCTGCTTTTTAAATATGCCTTTCATTCAGTTTGCAGTTCCCTTCATTTATAATCATTATTTTTAAAGTATATTATACATCAATTGTTCACAGCCTTTTCTGCCCTATGCATTCCATTGACTATTGTGCGACAATCATCCTTCTCCCTCTTTTCCAAAATTTAGTTTGCCTTTTAATGTGTTTTATAAACTAAAGAAGAAAAAGTACGGAAAATGTTGTTAAATAAAAAACTTGAAAAAAGTAGATTTTTATATTCATAAACAAAAACTAAATGCTTAATAGGTAAATAAAAGGCTGACTGCATTCCCCCATGGTTGAAAATCCCTGTTATATATGGATGAAGACAAAAATCTTTTAGCATTATATACATACAACAAACATGTGTTTATATATATATAAATATGTGTGCATGTATAAGATAAAAAATATATGTAACAAATAAATTACAATTTAAATTAGCAATAGCCCCTTAATGCTTAATGTGGTATTTCCTCTCTCTATTCTAAAAATAGTAACTTTTTTCTGCACTGCATCTTCCAGACTAATTGATATCATATGACACTGATGATGTAAATGGAACAAAAACTAAAACATCCAATAATAATTTTACAGCAGTTTTAATTATCCAATCAAATGCATTAAGAACCAAACTAACGTATTCTGAATTGAGATTTCATCCTGAGCGGCTTCGGCTTAGCTGAACTGCTGCTCTCTTCTTACTGCAAAGCTTTAAAAAATGTAAACACTTTTAGGTACTATTCGGTTTTGAGGGCTGTAAAAAATCGCCAAATTATTGTTAATACTAAAAGTAACTACGGCAACCCTAATGCAAGAAAGGAAGTATAATAGTAAATAACTATCTAAGATTGATGTTTTAATTTAGATGAAAGGTTAATTTCATATATAATACTTTTTTATTATTATAATTTATATAAAAAAGGCTAAATATGACTGAATGGAAGCATAAGAGTAAATAACTATTTCAGATCATTATTATAATTTATATAAAAATAGCTAAACATAATTGAATGGATGCCCGCATCGCTATTTAGCTACCAAGTTATCGCTAAAGCATAATTTCATCTCGTTGATTGTTCAACCATAATTTTCTATAATGAATGATGCTTTTTCTTTGAAAAAATTCTAGGTAAAGTGCAGAATCCCACTTGTTTGCCGCTTTTTACAAGGGTAAAACAATTGGATTTTTGTCAATTTTCTTTTATTTTTTAAGTGAAAATAGGTCACTGTGTACATGGATACTGATGTGCAATTCTTAAAAACGTGTCAAGCAGTGGGTGATTCTGCACTTTACCTAAAATTCTATTGCAGACTTTTCATCATGGGCAATTCCCCAATTGTTAAATCCATAGCATATCAAAAAAGGATATAAAAATTAAACTAGTATTTCAATGGCATCTTAAGAAATATAGAACTATATAAACTTACGCAATCTGAAATCAGCGCGTACGCTAGATTTGGCATACTGTTAAACGGGCGCGTTTGCTAGATTTTGCGCTTGTATTTTTTTACGGTCCTCAAAACAGAATAGTACCCATTTTTAAATAGGCTCAGGTAGTGCACCTATTTCAAGTAGTTTTTGTTACAGCAACAAGTTTTTTTTAAAAAAAATAAAAATGAATATTTATTCTGTCAGTTTCCTTTTAACATGAACATTGTATGCAAACAAAATTCTTGCTGTTCATTACAAATTCAACATTCTGTGTTCTATGCGATCTGCATTTCAATGCCGTCAATATTTCTGTGTATGTATGTGATCAGTTTTTCTACAGCATCAATACTTTTAAGTTTGCTTTCATTACAATAAGCATCTGCTTCATCACAGTGACAAAATGCCGTATTTCAGCATTTTATGCTATCAGCTTATCTTGCAACATTACAGCAAAGTCTGCTTTATTACACATATATATATATGTATTTAAATACTTCATTACAACAAAAGATTTTGTTAAGAAATAAATAAATACAGTCAAAAGTCGTTAATTCGGACATCCATAATTTGGAATGATCTATAATCCGGACCTCAAAACTAAAAACTTTCTGCGCATGCGCCGCGTTGACACATGCGCATAGGCGTTTACGTTGTGCGCGTGAGACTTTTTACGACTGTGCATATGAGTGTGCGCAAGTGCAGAATACGTTTTCGCGTGCGCATTTTATGTATAACGGACGTATAAGCTAAATAATTATCTATTTCAGTTAATGTTGATGATTGCGTTGCTCCTTAATTTTCGAATTGGATCAGGCTTATTATTTTTTGCAGACTGTAAGAGCAATTTTATAAAATTGTTTATAAGTTTAAAAGTTTAAACTTTCGATTATATCAAATAGAATTTCCGATATATATTTGTTAATATGTAAAGGATCTAAAGCGAAAGTATGTTTTGAAATCCGAAATCCGTTTATCAATTTCACGCTGCTCGGCGGGGGGAACGCCGCGGGGGGCGCGTAATGAATTGGAAGTTGATCTGTCAGCACTATCCTTATCTTCAGGGCAGATGTTTTTATTTTATTTGGCTTATAATTCCTTATCAAATGTAGTATTTCATCTCGATGTGCTCCGTCTTTGATATGATTTAAAACAAGTTCCTCGTCATTATAATTCGCTTCTGATAGCGAAGAAAGTGACAGAGGTTATTGAAAACGAAAAAATTTCGATTGACAAATTAATCGGTAACATTTGGTGAAATTAGGGCGTATATTAGAGTTGTACTGAAATGTTTAATAAAGTAAACAAATAAATATTAAGCTTTTTCTTTTTGCAAATTTTGATACCCTTTAGATCATAATTGTTCTTTATTTCATAAATTACGGTTTCATACTTTTAATTTTAGAATTTCTGCATGCCATCTTACGAGATTTAAACTGATGATCTATAATCCGGATTCGCCGAAGTCCCGACGAATCCGGATTAATGACTTTTGACTGTACTGTTATTTTCTAAGGTCCACACCACTAGTAATTTTCAGTTTAAAATTTTGGATGTTACTTACCGATAAAAGTGTGGCTAAAGTAATGCTACAATAAAAGGAAACAAAAAACCATACAACACACAAAAAAAGTATTTTTATATTTTTTTCCCTTTAATATATTAAAAATACATATTTTCATAATCAATGAAATGTACAATAAATCAAACATTTGTAATATTACCTGCAATCAAAAAATATATATATATATAGTTCTGTTAATCATGAGTGCAAAAGTATACACATATATGAAATATAGGAATGAAAATTTAAATTATGCTGTTGGCATCATTATATTTAATGGAATTTGCTCTTCTTGGCAATAAAAATTATACAGCAAAGTATCTTTTAACCTTCCTTTGTTACAGAGAAATTCTAATTTTGGTAAACGTTGAATCAAAACATGAAATTGAAATAATTTAAATAACACTGAGCTACTTTAGTATTATTTATTCATTTTCGAATTATGTACTTTTTAAAAGAAATAAACATAAAATGTTCCAAGTTTAAAAGTTTAAAAATATCAATCTGTAATCAGGATAAGTTTTTATTTCATCTCATAAAAAGTGATTTACAGTTTAATTACAAATTACATTGTATAAATGATGAAACCAGGGCCAGTGCTAAGCATTCTGCCACCTGGTTAAAAGTCTAAACGTTTTGCTACCTCTAAATCCTGCTGCACCAGTGCAGCCCTATCAGCCCCAGGTGAAATAATAATTGTTCAAAAGACTTAACACAAAATTTAGTCTTAATTTGAAGTTGGTTTTATATATATTTCAGGCCCGATGATGCAGTTGTTAGCACATCGTACAGCTGCACCACAGGTCTGGGGTTCGATTCCCGGGCTGGGCAAGGTCGACTCAGCCTTTCATCCCTTGATTTCCATCACTTGGGTTGATAAAATGAGTACCAAGTTCGCTTGGGGACTAAACACTGGAGGTCCTGCGACAAGCTGACCACTTGTTCAGGGCATATGCTTACTTACCACGGGGCCCACGGTCAAGAAAGATTTTGGGCACTGCAGGCCTTGGCCCATTAGGGCTGTTATGCCACTGAGTTTAGTTTTTTCTATATATATTTCAGGAAAGCCTGTGACTGTCTTTTAATAAATGCATATTTTTGTACAAAACCAAAGTCATTCGAAGGCAGAATTTTGCTCATTTTAAAATTTTAATTAGTTTACTTGTTGTCATTTTGCTTGTTGTTTTAAGAAGGTTAATTAACTAGAGGAATTAAAGGTCAGAAATCTCTATCATCAAATTCTAATTTTCCAATTCTCAGATGACATTTTGATTGAATTGTGTGACATAAAAATATATCTGTTACAGTGGTAAAATAATATATATACTTCAGTTTTGTAAAAACCAATAGCTTGCTGTGATGTAATCTTGCTTTTATGACTTTTTTTAAGTACAGGGTGATCTTTTTTAAAGTGACAGTGTTCGGAGCGCCCTGTAGCACGATCTAATAGCCGAAATGAAACCAAACTCAGTATTTAGACTAATCAAGACATGGGAAAAAGGATTCCGTGGGAAAAAAAAAAAAAAAAAAATTATTTCCAAAAATCGGCACAAGGGCATTTTTGTAGCGCTGCTGTAGCTTACAATAATGAGAATTAGCATAAAACACGGGTATCAAAGAAAAATGCAAATGTTGTGTGATGACAGCGCCACTAATAGGGGTATAAAAGCAAGTCATAGACAGCTCCGACAAATAATCTCAGCTGAAGTAAATGAGCTCCAGTGGACATGCCTCTCACGTTACCGGAATGTGCATTACTGGTGAAACTGGTATTACATGAATCAATGTAATGCATCCACAGCTCTTCGGAAATTTCGAACCAGAAAAAAATTACCAAAAGGGCCTTTATCGCTGAATGGTCTAAAGAAAATGATTGAGAAGTTCGAGGAAACGGGATCACTGACCATTCGCGCTGGGAGAGGATGTAAACCAGTATCAGAAGATGTAATAACTGATGTGGCAACTGCAATTGTCGAAGGATTACAGGGAACCATTGCTGGTACTAGCAGCACCCGGGATGTAGCTCGACAATTGGACATGTATTATTCCACGGTATGGAGAGTTTTGCGGCGCATTATTGGATTTTACCCCTATAAAATCAGCTGCTTGCACAAACTGAAACAAAGTGATTATGATAAGCGAGTGACATTTGCTCTATCGTTTCTTGCCAGGGTAGAAATTGATGATGCTTTCCTATGGCACATTCTGTGGGGAGATGAGTGTCATTTTTATCTCAATGGGTCCGTAAACAGACAAAATAGCCAAATTTGGGCTTCTGAGCAGCCCCACACCATGTACGAAATCCCATTAAATTCCCCAAAAGTCACTGTTTGATGTGGTTTCACAGATGAATTCGTAATTGGGCCATTCTTTTTTGAGACCATCACTCCGAGAGGACCCCAAACGACCATAAATGCAGAAAGGTACCACAAAATGCTGCAAACGTTTGTTATTACAACACTTCAGCAAAGAAACCGTCTCCAACAGACAATCTTTATGGAGGATGGTGCTCTGCCACACATTAGTAATAAGGTAAAGCAGCTGTTGCGCCAAAACTTCACTGATGATAGAGTCGTAAGTCACAGTTTTCCAATTCAATATACAACTTCCAGTTGCATGGCCGCCTCGTTCCCCTGACCTCACGCCATGTGATTTTTGGCTCTAAGGTTATTTGAAATCTCAAGTTTATGTTGGTGGAGTATCAAATTTCTCTATTCTAAAGGACAACATAACAAAGATAGTGCAGAATATTCCTCGTGATATGTTACATACGGCTGTGGAGAACGTTGTGCACAGAATGCACGGTGTTATTTCTGAGAACGGTGCTCACATCGAATGTGGTCTAATTCCTCACCGGGAAAGTTAATGTAGTAAATAAACATTAATAATTTAACTGTACGATTGTATGTATTGATGTCCCATGTCTTGATTAGTGTAAATACCAAGTTTGGTACCATTTCGTGTATTACAAAGCGCTCCAAACACTGTCACTTTAAAAAAGATCACCCTGTATATTTCTTGTTAGTACGTAATCATTTAAAATTTTTTAGCAATTTGCAATTTATGTAAATTGAAAATGATTCTATCTTATTCCAGGCTATTGAAGAGGTTCGCAAATATAGTTCTTTTGCACTCAAAATAGAAGTTGAATGTAATTCCTTAAAAGATGCATTGGAAGCGTGTAAAGCCAACTGTGATGTAGTCATGCTGGATAATTTTCAACCAGAGGTATTTTTTAATAAACTATTATTTATATATAAGTTTGAAGAAAATGAGTGAAGTGAATCATTGAGGGGTTTTAAAAAAGGGATTTTTCATAATATTTATAAAAATTAAAATATATACCTTTTAGTGTTTTTTTATATTGACCTTAAATTAGTATTAACCTTTTTTTGAATAATTTATGTAAATTTATAGGATAGCCTTTAAAATGATATTTTGAAATGATGCAGCAATAAATTTTATGATACATAATTAGAAATTAGAATATAATTTTTACAAAACTTTCTAGAAACTATTACTTTCCATCGTGAATCTAATAATTTCTGTCATGAAATATGTTGGCTGATCTATCTGGGGAAAAGAAAAAACTCTTATATATGCCCTCGCTTGGCGACAAATTTCTCCACGGTGCCATATTACTATCTAAATTTATTGTCTACATTTCAAATTTTAAGCCTAAAATGTCTCCAAAAACGCACAATTTAAGCTAAAAATCCGAAACAAAAACAAAAAATTTAGATTGCAAAAACATAAAGCTTCTAACCACAAATATTTGACAAGAATCCATGTACACAGCAATATGTTTTAACTTCAATGAATTGCATAATCTAGGCAGCGAAGGAATCTACGAACTGTGCACACCTCCCTTTAATAAATTAACATAACAACAATAAATGTCAAATACCATGTACACAGCATTCTGTTTAAACTTAAAAAAACATCTACGAATTGCACAATCCAAAATAAACTAAAATAAATTACAAACAATTCAAAAAACAATAGAAATTCATAGTAAAAAAACAATGAACGTAACATTCTACAAAATAAAAACAATAAAATAAAATGCACTTACCATAATGAAAGCTTTTTTGGACAGCAGAAATATCAATTTCAAATATTACCAAAACAAAAAACACAAACACTTTCTTCAAATATTCTACAAAGAAATTTTTAATTTCTCCCATTCAACAGTTCTTATAATTTCTACAAATTTGTTGAAGGAATCTTCTCCAGTTTCAGAACAGTAATGAAAAAAACATATAGACCACCAAATAAAACTCAAAATCGTATTTCTGATTATAACTAGGCAACGTAGCTTTAACATGCCCCCACGAACTCTCTGCGGTATTTATATGACAGCCAGACTCGCTATCCACAAAATTAATACTATGGTTCACAAATAAACATTCAAAACCTTCTTTTCCTAAATCCTTGTAAGATTTCCAGCCATCCGAAAAAATAGTTGTACCGGGCTCAATCCACTCTTTAATACACTGCATCAACGTTTCCTTACTTTTATCATGCACAGCCACTAAAAATAATCTCCCAGACCCCCTTTCCACACCTCCAAATACCCACTGCCCCAACAGGATGGCCACAGTAATTTCCTTTTGCGAACTCCGACTCTTAACTTCCCCACTTTATCTCCCCCCATCAGACACAGAGCATACAATTCCACATACTTCGTGAATAAAATTCCCAGTAACACACATCTGTGAACAAAAGTGCCACGGTTTCGGGTTTGTATTTAGAGTCCTTAAGAAACTTCCTTCCAGACTGGTGTTTTCTTTAATACACTGCATCAACGTTTCCTTACTTTTATCATGCACAGCCACTAAAAATAATCTCCCAGACCCCCTTTCCACACCTCCAAATACCCACTGCCCCTCAACAGGATGGCCACAGTGATATTTCCTTTTGCTGAACTTCGACTCATTAACTTCCACCACTTTATCTCCCCCCCCATCTTCTGAGACACAGAGCATACAAATTCCAACATACATTCGTGAATAAAATTTCGCCAGTAACACAACATCTGTGAACAAAAGTGCCACGGTTTCAGGGTTTGTACAGTCCTTAAGAGTCCTTAAATTTTTTGGAATCAATTTTTGGTCCTTCCAGAACTGTAAAGTGTTTCTTTTGGAAAAATAAATTTTATCAAGCTATTATGGGGTCTGTGTGCATTTAATACATTACAAATCTACGCAACAGTTTTTGGTGTCACAAGTGGGATTGAATACCACTGACAAGAGTGCTGTGGGAGCAACTGAGACAAGTCTTGACAGCCTTTTGCTGCATTTAAAGAAGAAATGAAAACTGGCTAAGAGTCTATTAAAAAAGAAATGAAAGACAAATATCAAGTCTTGACAGCCTTTTGCTGCATTTAAAGAAGAAATGAAAACTGGCTAAGAGTCTAGACAAATATCAACAACAATCGGAAGGGAACATCAACTCCATTAAAGAAGTGATAAAAGCGAGCCAAAAAAATATTGAAGCAGGTCAACAGGAAAGAGAAATCTGCCACAATAAAAAAGAAATTTAAGGCTATGGAAGGCTGAATAGTCAAGGGTGAAGACAAAGTTTGAGAAATTCAGAGAAACGAAAGTGTTTCGGCTGTTCAACAACAAATCAAAGAAAGTGCCTCTACTTTTACACAACAAATTGACGATAGAGTTTCTGCTGCTGTCACCAAGGAATCTGGCAGTTTAAAGAAATCCATAGTGATAGCTGGATACAATTGTAATGCCTTTAAATTCCTAAAGCTGTCCACCTGTGATGGAAAGATCTCATGGAAAGTGTGCAAGACTCATTTCTCTGTGGTGGCTGATGCAAATGGATGGGATTCCCAAGGCTTGCCATATCTCTGCTTCTTTGAGAGCAGACGCAGTAGATATCCAACTCTGCCCGAAAACCAGAGGCTACACTTCGAAGCTCTATCCATCGCATTGGAGCTGCGCATTGGCAAGAAGTGTTTAAAAGACTATAACAGGCTTCAGTTAAAATCTCGGCAACAGAAGTCCATGAAAACATTCCAGGAGCTCATCACGGATATTGAAAGGCTGTCTCATCTTGCTTTTTTGGACTGTCCATCAGAAAGAAAGGAAATTTTGCCTTCCTGTACTTCATCAATGTCTGAGATACCAAAATTCCTGCAAATAGCGAATGTCAAGGATTTAAAAAGTGCTTTAGTGTGCGTCATGAAATTCAAGGTAGCCAGCAAGCAACCTGTAGAGACTGCTACCTGTCAAAGCTGCTCATGTTCAGGAATCAGTGAAACAACTTACTGCTCATCTGGATGAGTTAACTAGAGAAATCAATATCTTAAGTCAGAATAGGAGTGGTAACAAATTTATCCTAAAGTGCTGGAACTGCAGTGGTGGAGGCTGCATTTTAGATACTTGCAAACCACCCCAAAGCTCGGAAGCTTTGCCAGATATTGAGAAACCCCATTTTAAATCATTTCAGATATCTACAATGAGAGGGCAGCAGTAATGGACTTTCACCATAGTACAGAGTTGTTTGCAGTATGACATCGATACAAGAGCCAATGTTACCATCATCCTGTTGTGTAATGAATTTAACTGGTGCAATATAGAAACTGTTGTGTTAATTCTCAATCTAAATGAAAATCATTATGACAATCAGTACAGTTACAAATATTACAACCCAAAAGAATAATTTGACAGTATTGATACAGACACAATCACTTATACCCAGGTTAGTTTAAATTCTTTTACTGCAATGTTGGGAACACAAAACTTATTTCTAAATAAACATATATCCTTAGTTACAAAAGTCTTCATGTTTTTTTATACATTTTCTGAAGTCCACAATAACATATTAAGATCAAAATAAACATACAAATACAACTTTTCCTAATCTCGGTCTGAATTCCTGTTTAAAAATTCACATTTTAAATATAAGATCATAATTACATATTATATTAAGTTAAAAAAATCGCATAGTTTTACATAATCATCACTACATGCAAGAAGGAGATAAAAAGTACTTACATTGAGCAGACTACAGAAATCGGGAAGCTACAACAAACTTTTGCAGTGGTGAAGGTTCATTCTCTGAGAGACTGCAAATGTAATGAAACCAGTTCTTAACATAGCCACTTACAGTATTTAATGCAGTTCAGTATTGTTCGTGAAGTTTACTTCATCATTCTAAATATCAATTCCAAACACTCTCTTTATAACACGTCAGAAAACAGGAACACAACAGTGGGATAAATTTACATCATCAGTGGGAATGCTAGGAATATCACACGGATCATATTTCCTGCTCAGAGGATTTATGAGTTCATATATTTTTCCTATATCATACATTTAATCATTCTGTACAACTGATCATCTTTCACAAAGCTGAGACTTGTAACTTTTCTTCTATTTCATACATGCTCGAGAGTCATCATTGCAATACTCTGCTTTCTCTTCTCCACTGGCACACCTTTCTACTAGTTATCACCAATAAAATGTTCCTTCTCCATCTCAAGAAAAACCTCCACATCTTTCTACTATTTATCACTCACATTCTTTTTTTCTTCTTCATTGTTGCTTAACTTTAACTCAGCCTCAAGCCAGTACCAAGATGAAAACCAAATCTAGCAAAAGCTAAAAGGCAGAAAGAAAAAAAAAAAAAAAAAAAAAAAAAAAAAACCCACAGCAAAACCCCCAAAAGGCCTGAAGAAAACTCTTCAGCTGTCCCTTTTTTAACTTCTTGCTTAATTATTAATTGAACAGCAAATTCCGATGCATGCACACCTCATTTCAAATCAATTGGTCAATCACAGTCTGCCACAACTTTATCCAAGCCAATTACAACTCTACAAAATTAGACTAGGCGCTGTACATCCTTCTATATCAACTGCGTGTAAACACCTCAGGGTTATTTCCTTTTCCTGGGGAGGGGAATCGAAAAATATCATACCCCCAACAAAACATCTCCTACGATGAACAATACATTTGTCTACATCTTTTATTTGCAACTCAGATCAAAGAACCTATAATAACAAATGGGACCTGTCTTCAAGTCAAGACTTATTTTACAAAAGCTGCTATCTACAACAGAAAGTCTTAACCTTCCCTTCAAGGCATCCCAATTGCCACCGTAAGAAGTCTTTATCAAAACGCTAGTTTCTGCAAACTACCCAGTTGCCAGTTTCTCATTCAGGAAAAGGAAAACAATCTCGCTGTCTCTATCACAAATGCAGAAAGTGA